TGTCAAAAGTTGGATCTGATTGAAGTAGAAAGTGAAACATGAAAATCCCAATGTATGGGCATAATGCAGGACAACCTGTGTCATCCCTATATACTAAGTACTACCGTACTTAGTATATAGGGATGAGATAGGGAGGCTGTTACACTCACCAACTATAAAAATGCAAAATCGGAACCTGGCAGGGAAGAGTGAAGGGGCAGTTAAACTATTGCAATACTCTGACTCACACTCTGTCCTTGAGGTCGACATTTACAGGTTAGAGTCTCTCTCAGGACGCGGGGATGGTAGCTCTGCTGGAACATGTGGAGGTCCACTCTTTTGTCGTACTTGAATCTCACTCTCTGTGTCTCCTCGTGTGTGTTGAATGAGTTCATGAGGACCAGCGGCTCGTCGCTGTTGTGCTTCTTGTTCAGATACGGCACGACCAGGGAGAGAGGAGGGGGAGGAAGGGACTACATAATTAGTTGAAGAGAGATATTGGTGAGTGAAGTGAGCCTACCTAGTCATCTCAATGAGGCACATATTGTAATGTTTTACGTTATTCAAATACATATGCGGAAAATGCAACTACTCGCATTTGTTTTCCAAAAGCATTCGAAATTTTGGTTATCATAGTGAATAAGCAAGTGCATGGATAGATTTTTCACTTCACAACAGCCTTTTAGGGTCTTTTGGGTGGGGGAGGAGAAAGAGTCTGGCATGTCTCGTAAATGTTCTGTACATGTCAAGACTTGGTGTAGGCAACCACTGAACGGAAAGGTTGTGGATGTACACGTATGTTCCAGGGCCTTTCTTTACCGGAATACGTCAGATAATACTCGCACTAGGGAGACTAAAGGCATGTGAAGTCCAGAGGGGGAGACAAGAGAACAGGAACATCAGGTCTACCTGACCTCCTTGAATAGTCAGGTCAGATGCGAGCATGGGAATCATGCACATCACATGTGCTCTCTTGCGTGTATCTTTTGCTCGTAAAACGAACAATGCTGCACACTATACACACATATTGGGACGGGTTTAGCGTGCAATGTCACTGCTCTGGTGGGGGTGGGAAATCAGTATTATGCTATAACCCAGTTGGGGTTTGGTAAGTCGAGAAGTTTGGAATTGATAATGAGCTAGACCCAAGTTGGTTAGGGCAATTTCTTGTGTTTCCTGCATTCTCTTTGCATCCAACAGAGCAACCCACGACGGTGTTTGGTGAGAAACTGAGGGATCAGGTAGAAGAAAGGCTTTCCTTTTTTTTGAGTCGGGGGAGCTTCCCAGCAAAAACATATGCCGTGATGCAGGAGGCAATCTCTCTGAGTCTCAGCTTCAAGCCGACAAGATGGACCTCTCTTTGGACGCCTCCTTCACTGCTGGGGAAAGGTAAGAGAGTGTTACTGATTGTGAAAGATGAAATGGGTTTCACGTTCACTTGTAGTGGTGGTGGGGAGAAGAAAAAGAAGAAGAAAAGGAAGTGGAGAGGTGAAGGATCCTATCTCCTCCTCCTCTTCCTCTCTCGTGCAGTTGTGAAGTGCCCCAGAGGGCCTCTGCAGATAACAAACGGTGGCCCAGGGATGGAGACCGAGGAAGGGGAGTGGGCACAACTGGACGCAGACACGAGGCTGGGGTTTGGTACAACAGTCACCTTCAGATGTAACAGAGGCTATGGACTGCCCGAGGGAGTCTGGAATAGAACTTGTCGATTAAACGGGACCTGGTCTGGAGCAACACCTACCTGCAACAGTGAGTAGGGGTGAATCTTGTGTTTGCCTATGGAGGAGGTTGTAGGGTGCTGATGTAGTAGAAATTCATTGCTCTAGGTTATCAGCTTTTTGTAGTCAGGGTAACCTTCCTCTGTATTCACAGGTTGCTATTGTTGGGTGTCTTGTGTACATGGTACTTAACTGATTGAAAATTCATTGGCCTCTCCTCATGCAGTTCAGTGCCATAATCCAGAGCCCACTGGATACACAGTCTCTCCACTGAGCAACTACTACGACATTGGGGATCAGATCAGAGTAGACTGCATGGATGGACACGAAGGGAGCACTTACCTGACCTGTCTCCGGAGTGGAAACTGGGAAGTACACTACCCCGAGTGCTGTAAGTCCAGTACAGAAACTCCGACTTTCGCTGTCAAAGCAATGCAGATGTTATGATAGGGGACACTGTTGACTAGGCTGTGAATAGCCTTGTCCAGGTCCGTGCTTGTTGTTACAAGCCTGGGAGTAAAGGGGTGTTCCTATATACAGCCTCAAGACTTCTGCTGTGAACCCTGTCTCCTTCTCTCTCCTCCATTCAGCTCGTAGCTGTGCCGCTCCGCCGGTAGACAATGCTGACCCACCAGTTATAGGATCGACTGTAAAATTCACATACACCTGCCGCGCTGGCTACACTCTCCTGGATGACTCCTGTGAGAACTCCACCCTCTCCAGCACCAACTACACCCTGTCCTGTGTCAATGGAGCGTTTGAAGGACGGGTTCCAGTCTGCACAAGTGAGTCTCCTTCTTTTACTCGGTGTATTGACATGTTCACAGCATGGACAGGTTTATATACAAGTGGAAAAATCATTAAATTTCTTCAAAATGAAGGGGATATAGGGATGGCTTGAAAAGGAAGAAACAAGGGGTCATTACACAGCAAGATGTACAAAGCTACATGATACCATACCTATATCTTTGTTTTATTGTTCATAAGGAAAGTTCCATATCGAACAAAGATTATAGGGATGGTGTCGTGTAGCTTTTGCATCTTTCTGTGTAATGACCCCTTGTTTCTTCCTTTTTGGTGCTTCAAGCCATCCCTTCATTTTGAAGATCCACTTGTTTCCACTATTTTAACAGCTTATGACAACACTGCATTTTATTGTTACAGTCACTCTGATGTTCATAGGTATGTTGTAGATAGGTTACCAAGGACAAACTCTAATTGTTGAAAGCTGTAGCTAATGGCTGCTAGTGCCTGAAGCAGGAGCTAGATACCATATACACCTCAGGTATTGTATTCAACAAGGATGTAATTAGGTTATGGCACATGGCTGTAGTTTCATGGGCGGGAACAAATGAAGGCCCCTTTTGTGCGCAGGCAATGCTCGCGTAACACCGCGCTGACTCTGCCAAGTTGCTCCTCGTGTAAATCAACAGCAAAACGCAAGCTAGCCAGTTGGAAATGTGCACACTGACTTACAGAAGGCACTGGAGGCTGAGAGTTCCTCCGCAGGTCTGTCAACTTGCCTGGTTATACGCGCGCACACAGCGCATTGGACAAACGTCCCTGCCTAGCGCATGCGCGGGGCTTACTGATGCTGAGTTAGCAGCAAATTAAATGGCGTTGTTCAGTGTCGACCATGCGAGCTCCATGATCTACCGTTGTGACTTGCGGCAAGAAAGAAACGATCGCTTGATGTCCGTGCACACCTCAGTGAAAAAAATCAGCGCTTCAACTGGTTCTGGTAAGGAGATAGCGGGATTGAAAAAGAAGAAGAAGAATAATTATGATGATGACACGAAAATCGTGAAGTCACGTATGAGCGAAGTCTTGCGTGGAGAACTGAAGGTGCGTATGAGGTCTTTGGGAACATGTATAGGTAGATATGGGCCCGTAGACTATTGGTAGTGTGTTTTGAAGGCCTATACTGGCATGATCTCACTGGTCTCTTCCTGTCCCCCCATAACCTTGTGCAGGAGTTGAGATAATAACTCAGTCGAGTGACACTACTCTAGTGAACACTGTGAATGGAGTCTATTATTACCAGATGGAGGCAGAATCAAGGGATAAAGTGTTGACATGTGGTCTCGAAGGAGTCGACCAAGAGCAGCATCCAGCTCGGTGGATTCTACCACGAAAACCAAACGGAGAACTGCCTCCTGAGGTGGTAAATGATGGCAACACACTCACCTTCCTCACTGCTTACGAAGAACAAAATGACACCTACATCTGCAACATCTGCAACGTGAATGCTTCAGTGATTGTGCGTGTCACACCACCGACAACTAATTGATCGGTCTACTCCAGTTTGGTCAGCGTGTGATGATCTTTCTATCACTAAGAGTTGACACAGCACTATGCAAAGATTTGTATATGGAAACACTGAGTAGAGTATATTATTTTACCTCTATCTGTTGGACAGTGAGGTCGAGGAAGGTGGAGTCGTTCCGTACCGAAATGAGACTCTTGGGTCCCACACAGTCCATGCTGGTCCCGAGTCCCCCGTTGCCGCAGCCTTCCCGTAGAAACTTAGAGCAGTAGCGGAGGTTGAGTCCCAGTTGGTGTTTGCAGATCTTCTGAAAGCTGGTGTCTGGTCTGGGTTTGGGTGATAGTCGTGTGCTGCAGATAATCTCCTCTTTAGGTTCTTCATCCCCGGAAATCATGTACTCTTCTCTCGTCATCATTTTCAATTTGAAGATATTTCTGGCTTCAGGTGTTGGTTTGGGTACATACTAGGGAATGAATGTCCTCAAATCTCTCACATTCACAAACAACATGTGTCCTCACTTCTGCTGTACTGTTTCAGCCGCCGCACTCTATACAGCTAGCTAGCTCTACTCGATGGATCCTAACCGCCAGACGTGTGCGCGTGCGCAGATTCGATAGAGGGCGTGTCCTCCTTTTGTTGTCTAGTCTCGGCCCCTCGCGCTCTGCCCCAGCCGACCAAACTCCAAACAAAGCGAGTTTTTCACAGCAAGCACAGTAGCCTGTCGCGGCATCGTCGTCGGTTATGAACTGAGAGGTAAGAACTACAACTCAAGGGCATTTATATGTTGTAGTATGCGCACTATTTGTGTCCCAGTACACATAGTTAGAGAATAAATAGATAGAGATTATATACAAAAGAACGGCAAGATCAACAGCCAGTAGAAAAACAGAAAGCCTCAAAGGATTAATAGACTCATAGAAAAATATAAAAACTCTGAAACTTACGCAGTACGACGATATGTTGTAGTATGCTCACAACTATTTGTGTTTTATCTCCTATTGGCAAACCTTATCCCACAAAATTTTGGAAGGTCGCCTGTGCGAAAGTTCAGAGAACCCGTGACTATCTCTTCTCAAAGGCTGCAGAGGAGGTTGGAAGCGATTGATTATCCAACGTCACATGCCTCTCAATTTTTGCTGAGTATATAGGCAGCCTGTCTTTCGAAAAGCCAAACTGAGTACCGGGAAGTTTGTAGGTGGGTTTGTCTGACTCAAGAAGAGGATACTGTTGAGCCAGCGTACCCCTGGTATCCGTGAGATACAGCGTACAACACTAGACGATCTGTGCCACTCGGTACACGATTGAGCTAAGCATTATAGTTTAATATGAAGCTTTTCTAGCAAGATTTCAAGTGCATTCTCCGAATTTCAAGCTACCAAACTTGGCGATAAACTTTAGGGGTTGGCACCGCTAATTTGAATTCTTGTGCTACTCATGTGGTCAGTTCCAACCTCCTCTGGTCCTCAGGCCGGAGAGGAAAAAAGGATCTCTAGTGACAAATTAGTCTGGTTCCCAGTCCCTTCCTTCTGTGCACATGTGCGTGGGAGAGGGTAGGGTCTGGTAGATGTCTACACCCTAGTGTGGGTTCTAGGGTGGAATGTAGAGACATGTTGTTTTCTTACCCACTTCCAGCCTGTTATTGTGGTGGAATGCTCAATCAGTAATTCTCATCAATAGACACTCATACAGGTATATATAAATACCCTCTGGTGTCTACCTTCTACCTATGCATTATGTACACGGAGGATATTACCTGGATCACGAACTGGTCACCTCCAGTAGTGTATACTTCTGACCTTGGGTGATAATGGGATGTGTGTGTGTATACTGTATAACCTCCAATGAAATACTAATACATTGTTAACCTCCAAATAACGGACAAAATGCCTGGTCCCAATGTGCCTAATATTCAGAGGTTCTGCCCTATGTATCTAGTGGGTGGAGCCTAGTTCTGTGAACATGCCCGTCCCGTAGCCAAGATGCCTATGTATTCGATGTATTTGGAGGCAGTGCTGTGTGGTTCATATGCATGCATGCCCTGTGATACTAGGCTAGCCAAGTTTAACCTGCTCTCATCAATTATGTAGCGAAGGTTATTTATGCTCATAACCATTGTAGTCAGTACCGTATAATGGGAGAAGTTGAGGCCATGAGTGTAGGGAGTAGGTGGAAATGTGTTTTTTCCCCACTTATAGCTACATAGCTAGAATGACCAGTAAAACAAGTAGTGCTGTGAATGTTTTTCACATAACTTAGAATGTGTGGGCTCTTAAAGCCACAGGTAACATCAGGCCACCCTTAGACTTGAAATTTGGATGCAACCCAATTGTGAACTTTCCTCAATCAATTTTATGTAGATTGGTAGCTATAATGGCAGAGAATCCTGCTGACCGAGTGTTGTCTAATGAAGACATTCCAACTCTTATCAATATTCTAACTCCAGTAGCTTCGAAATGCTCTGCACTTGGTCTGCAGTTGGGGTTGAAAGACTGGCAAATAAAGAATATAGAGAAAAATAGACATGATTGTGAGTCCCAACTGCAGGAGATACTAGTAGAGAGACTAAACCAGGAAGAGCCTCTCTCATTGAGGGACTTAGTCACAGCTCTTTGCTCCGACTCTGTTCGTGAAGGTCGGGTGGCCCACCAGATTGAGTCTCATTATTGGAGGTCTCAGTCTCTGCTATTATCTACCCAGCAACAGAGACCTAATGTCTCTCTCCCACACAGTGATACTAGCCTGTCTTCATCGTCATCTCAACTTCCCTCACAGCAAAACCCACTTGAGTCTCCTACCACTATACCAGTCTCCTCACAATGTCCCAGAGACTGGTGCCCCTGCTGCCAAGAGACCTAGAGAATAGTCACTAGTGAGGCCACACCCCCAGCCTCGCCCACTCCCCAGTCAACAGCCTTCTACAAGTCAGAGGAAACCACCACTAGTCACTCAGTACATTGACTATGTGAAGACAGTGTACAGAAAGAGTGAGGTAGAGAGAGATACACGTACTGTAAAGTGGCCCCCAACTCCCAGTAAGGTCTACATCAACCTGGTATGTATAGACCGTGGTAAGGTTACTAGTGGGCAAAGGAGTGAATACGAAGAGGTGACAGAGGCTATGGTTCGATATGGTGATGTTGATGTTGTACATGGCAAAAAGTGGCCAATCAACTTCAATCAAATAGCAGCTGGGATTTCTGATATTGGTCTAGAGAAAGTTGTACTAGTGGAGGGTGCTCCAGGTGTGGGCAAGTCAACATTTGCATGGGAGTACTGTAGGAGGTGGGAGAGAGGGGAGATATCTCAGCAGTACCAGTTGGTCCTACTTCTCAGACTCAGAGATGAGAGAATGAGCAAAGCCAAGACTCTCGGTGATCTAATCATGCATGATTCAGAAGATGTACGTCAAGCAGTAACTGCTGATCTGGAGCAGAGTCATGGTTAAAAAATACTAATCCTACTAGAAGGGTTTGACGAGCTTCCAGACACCTGTCGTACTCCACAGTCTATATTCCTTCGACTTATATGTGGTGAGCTATTGCCGCTGGCTACTGTGATGGTCACCAGTCGACCTTGGGCTACAGGAATGTTTCTTAAGCATTACAAGCATCGTTTGCTCCAACATATTGAGATAATCGGCTTTACCACTCAACAAATATCAGAATATATAAAGAGTGCCTTACCTGAGAATGAAGCTAAAAACCTGGAGTCTTATGTTAAGAATCGTCCTCAGATCAGAGGCTGCATGTACATCCCTTTGAACAGTGCTATTGTGGTGACAGTATATCAGGACAGACAGGCCAGCGGGTGTCCTCTGCCTACAACACTAACTGAACTATACACTGCTCTCGCACAAATACTGCTAGTTCGATACCTACATGGTCATCCCGAGCTGAAAAAAGGCAGTGATAAACACAGAATTGGAATTTTTAAAGATCTGAATGTCCCACATGTAGTTAAGAGAAATTTTACTGAACTGTGTAAATTAGCATACAGAGGCATCGTAGGGGAAAGTGAAGACCCATATGTAGACTTTCATTATTACAGAGGCATTGTAGGGGAAAGACGTCAGGTACAACTGATATTCAAAGAGTCAGAGCTACCAGCAGACTTTGACAATCTTGGGTTCATGGACTCTGTCACTGAGCTCTATGTAACTCGTGGGACAGTCTCGTCCCACAACTTCCTACATCTGACATTTCAGGAGTTATTTGCTGCAGTCCACATCTCTACCATGTCACCAGCAGACCAATTGGATGACTTCCAGAGACACAAGGATGGTAGGTTGAATGTAGTGCAGAGATTTCTTGCTGGAATCACTAAGTTAAGCTGTTTTTCTAGTGAAGGTCCTCAACGCACATTTCTAACTTCTACAACTAGTCATTACAGCCATAAATGTGACATTAAAGTTGATAGTCAACTTGTAAACTGCATGTTTGAAACGCAGAGCAAAAACGTCAGTGCACTACTCAATGTGGAACATGGCACTGGACCATTAACAATTAAGTTCAAAGGCGGCATGTCAATGTTACCAATGGACTACTACTCTCTGGGTTACTGCATAGCCCACAGTGAGTGTCAGTGGGTGTTGGATATGGTTTATGTTGCAACTTTAGATAGAGAAATGATAGAAATCCTGGTGAAATGGAGCTAAACTCAGGTCTGACACTTGTGGAAGAGTGGTGGGTTTTATAGGTCTGGATGAAAAGAATTTGCCCTCTCTTAAGACTGAGAATATTGCTGAACTTTTTATTCAGTTGAAGAATATTCTTAACCTTCATGAGTTATCTCTACCACTCTCAGTACCGTGCAGTGACTTCCCATGGCCAGACCTCTCCTCACTACGAATACTAACATTAGGTTTTATAATGACTGGAGAATTGGCATTACACAGATTATTACCACACCTCAAACTGGAGTCCTTTAGTCTTTTATTCAGTCTGGTCCTCATCGATGTTTTTTAAAATCTACGACGTAACGATTGTGAGGCTGTTGGCAGTTACATCAGGACTTCAACCACTCTTAAGGAATTGTCATTGCGCGTAACCGTGAATGACGAAGGGACGGAGGTCATTACTAGGGCATTGGCTAGTAGTCCACTGTCACTGGAGAGACTCATACTGTATGGAGATATTTCATTTACTGACACAGCAGCAGACTATCTGGCACAATTCATCAGGAACTCCACTACACTGCAGAATCTTGAATTAATCGGGTGTAAGTTCAGGGTTGGTGGAATACGAGTACTGGCCAAGGCTCTACACCATAACTCCACACTAAAAGAGAAGGTTTTGAAGTATTTGGAGGTGACTTGTGATGATGGAAGAGACAAAGAGGACTTGGAAGAAGTATTAATTGCCTTTCCAGACATGAGGAGATGTATTAGATGATTAATAATGCAAAGAGAGATTTTGGTTCTGTTCTCAAGTGTCAACTTAATTAAGAGTAGAATAGAGGCGAATCTGAGTTGAACTCAGGCTATTGTACGAATCTAAAGTCCATGTGCTTAGCTAACATTTGGTTGGTATTCACATCTCCTCACAGCTCTAAAAAAACCACTTGCACCAGGTCACAAATAAACTTCACACATACACCAATAATGACAAGGAAAAGTAAAATCTAGTGGTCCAAGATCCGGAGGTTTCCTGGCACTATCTTGTTCTCTAGCATGGCTCCAGAGGGGATGTCGATCCTGTCCCTATGATTAGCAATGATGATTACTGTGCCTTGTGTAAGGACACACACCAAGGAATTAAGCCCTGGTTGAATGTAGGTAAAACTCTGGAGGTCAAAAGAGACACTGAAGCAGTACAGTGGAACCTCCAATAAGGGACCCTCTGAGATAGGGACAAACTCTCTACAAAGGACACTTGTTTCAACCCCATGTATCGTTTGACCTGCGAGATAGGGACGACCTCTCTTTAAGGGACAAAATCGTTGGCCTCATAGTGCCCCTTGTTCCACTGTATACAAGGAAAAGGTTACTAAAACAAACTTTATGTCACTCTTGCACTGATCTTTAGTAACAGTTCCATGTACCGACAACCCCTGTCCTGCCCTTATGTACTGGCACACTCCTTTTAAGGAAGATTTCGAGGTCCCAGCATTCAGAGGCTCCAGTGATTACCTTGAGAGTGACGTTTTTTCCGAAGGTGACGTCACCAGACACTGTGAGATGGTCCAACTCTAACATGTCTGGAATGTTCTCAAACCTCTCCAGCATCTCACGAACCTGGAAACAAGAGTTGTACTTCACAAGAAATCTAATACAGGCGACGACAAGTCGAGCTGGTAGCAACACATGAGAGTGTTGCGATCTTTTATAAGTACAGAGAGCTGACCTGAAAATAACTGGCAAGCGAAGCTAGCCTACATAGTTGACTGAATGCGGTTTTGCTTTATCTATCCCACACTGCCACCACTCAGTAATGCTGCACGTAATTCTGAATACGTGTAAAATTGCTCCCGCAATTTTGCATCAACAGCAAAACGCAAGCTAGCCAGATACAAATGTGTACACTGACTTACAGAAGGCACTGGAGGATGAGAGTAGTTTTCTCTGCAGGCATCCAGTCCTGGCTTAGTCTCGTTCGTGGACCAGACAAAATGCGCGCGCACCGCATTGGGAAACGCCCTCCTCTGCGCATGCGGCTCACTGATGCTGAGTTAGCAGCAAATGGCGTTGTTCAGTGACTACCGAGGAAGAGCTCAACGATCTACCGTAGTGACTTGCGGCAAGAAACAAACGATCGCTTGATGTGCGTGCACACCTCCGGCAAATTCGGAGACGTTCTGTGGAAA